TCCACATAAACACCTAAAAGAAAACCACCACTTTCAAATTCTGAATACTGATCAGTTCTGAGGGCAGTTTTTTTTCCAGATGTCATCATTCCTGAACTCCTTAAATACCACAAATACAAATATGCCAAAGACTTTGCTTCTGTCGCTGTCCTGCTCATCCTCTCTCAACAAAGGGATTCTTAAAACTCTGTTATGAGATACTGAAGCTATTTAGTTTCCAATGGGATACATGGTCAAGTATTTCATGTGAACCAAACACTAGTATGTCTAATTTCTGAGCAAGTGCCTGGAAGTGCCATGGAAACTGATATAGTCTCTATCTCTGCTTCTTTCTTACATGCATACATTATTCCAGTCTAGGAGAAAAAACAATGTAAGTTCAAAAAAAGCTCTGTAGTTAAAATATAGCTTATAATGCATGCAAAGCATAATTGGTAGGGTAAGTTGACTGAGATAGGAATCTGTAATATGAAGGTCAAACAAATCTGGGATTAATTTGCTTGGGGAAGTGATGCAAATATGAAGTAGTCAATGCTTTGGAGAACATTTGTAGCTTCCTCATAAAAGGACTGTCATGGTACATGGTACCAGTAATTTGTCAGTTACAAATTACTATTTACTAAAAGCAAACAGTGATGTCATTTCTTGCCACTCCACCTAGCTCTTCATGATGCTTCTTAGCATCCTGGTTTACCGCTTCTCTTTTTTTTCCGGATAGGAGAGTACATTTTGATATTACTACTTCGTTCTTCAGGAATTCCAATATGGCTTCTGCATAGCCCAGAAACAGCATTGGAAATGTTTTGCTTATTTATTAATTTCAAATGGTTACCAAATTAGAAAACCTATTTAAAAATAATATTTTTTAAAAGGGAGATACGGCAAGGAACTTGATGGTTGCCAAAGGAGGAATCTGTAGGCACACCTCAAATCTTATCACATTCATGTAATTTGAATATGGCATATGCTGTCAATATTTCCTCACACTGCGGAAAATTGCATATAGAAATGAACAGAAAAAAGAAAAGAAAACATGCATGTGCATAAACCATTTTTAGTTAGGAAAAGACATCTCAGAGAAACACATTCTGGAATAACTGATTCCTCCTTTTTAAGTGAGCTGGCAGTGCCCCATTCTGATTGGCATGTGGTTAAAACTTTGATTGGTTAAAAGTCAATTTGCATATTCCTGAAAATATGGGTCTGTTCGCCTTATAGTGGAGTCCACATTTTCTGTTCTGCATTACAGACTAATTAGAACAATACACTTGGAACACACTAGGGCAACATAGACGTCTGTCTGAAGGACAATAGGAATTAAAATTGAGTATATCTGGAGGTCCCGAGTGAAGGAGGGGTGAACCTGGAGTATCAGTGTATGAAAATATTTACTCGGTCCTTTGAAGTCTGCAAAGAATGAGGAATATGACCTTGTTGGAAAAATGCAAGACCATTAATTAGCCAAAGGGAACCGAAACGTTCTTTTTTAAGTCCTTACAAACAATATAATATTTAGAAACAGCTCGGAAAGACACCTCCCTGATTCACTGGGAAATTGAAGGGATGAATGTCAGGGGTGTTTGCATGGAGATGGAGTCAAGCCAGACCTGCAAGATTTTGTTAATGTAGCCAAGGTAGATCTTCTAAAGGCACCGAATTCCTGAATTCTGGCCTGCTTAGTGCAGCTGACAGAACCCCACATAACTTGACGGTGTACATAAACTAAACATTTGCATCAGCACTATACGTTTTGTTATATAATTTGAATTACTTAAACAGAAGTATGTTAGAACTTCTTGTATTCTTGATCCTTTACATTTCTAACAGTGTTCTCATATTCAGAGTTATTAAAGATGCCAGGAAATCATAACATGTCAAGAAAATGCTGCTCTAAGACATATTCAGAAAATTTTAATTATTTTGCCCAGCATTTGTAGGAGAGCTAGTGGAATTATAAAACATATTTAGAAATTGGATGCATGGGACTTTTAGCTTCTAGGGTTGTACAATTTAGGGCCTTAGAACCACTTGCACTATACCCCCTTAATAACTTGAGTGAGTTCACAAAATTATTTAAAATACTGCTACCACATGCTAATTTTAAAGGAGAAAACGTTAAATAAACAGGAAGAGTAATCTCATTGATTAAATTAAGTTTTGCCCTGGCCCCACCCATTTCTTTGATCTCTTTTAACGTGAACATTTTTCATCCAGATGGCTTCCAGGATGGCTACTTAGGGTCTTACCTTTTCCTTCTTCAAAGCATGTTCCTGCTTTAAAAGCAACTGTGGTGCTTTAAAAGTAACTGTAATGTTTTTTGTCTTGCAAATTAAATTTGTCCAGTAAAAAGAAATATCCCTATGAATGTTAAATTTATCCATTTAAACATGTTGCTTTATGCTTTTCAAGAGTACATTCAAAGGAAAAAGTCTCTACATAGCACTAATTCTGCACACATAGAGAGACATTAGCATGATTGTGTAACACTTTATAGCTTGTTTTTCCAAATGTTCCACTTGTTCCTGATGTAGTGGTTAGTATACGGATGCCTCAGCCATTTCAGGAAATTTCTCCAGCTCTAAGTCAAAGCTAAAAAGCTGGCAGAAAACAGGCCAAGTCCAGTAACAATTCTATTACCCAAGAGTATGCCCATTTTTAAATTCCAATTGTATAAGTATCAAAAACCAGAAGTTCACATATCTTAAGTCACTGTGTTCTCATTTGAGCAACAATCGTTTTAAACTAAAATTTGGCATGGGATTATCCGTAATGTAGACCAAATGCACTTGGAATGCTGAAAAACAGCATTCAAAAACCAAGAGATTTCACTTGGAAAACACTTGAACTAGACAACCACAGCTCCTATTTTACACAAAACCTTTTAGAATTATGAATACACTTCAAGGAAAGTCCACTGCTCAACCCAAGACTTGGAAGGAAAGCACAATAATTTCAACTTAAATGGAAGATCTACATAAGACTGAAACTCAGGGGAAGAGATAAAAGGGATGAGTTATTATTTTTATCTAAACAATAAAAGAAGGAATACATTTTTTGAAAGCTTCTCTTAAAATATAGGAATCAAGATATAGATGATCTATAATAGCATTCTCCAATTTGATCCCACAGACACTTTGAATTATCTCTTCGCAGTTAATATCACTTTTGAATTTTCTTACTGTTAACCTGCCCATTCCCACCATTCACCCATATATATTTTGAACTAAAAAAGATCCTTTTTATTTCACCACACCATAAAAAAGATCCCTTCATATTCCACTATACTGGACAACAGACCATACTATGGTCTGTTGTTCAGTCTTCTATTACCAACTTTTCATAATCCTTTCCAAAACATCTTGTGATATTTTTACAGTATTTCATTTAACTTACTAGGAATCTTGTCCTGTTTTAAATGTAAACTTGATATATTTCAATATACCTGATATATTTGGAAAATTAAAAAATCAGGGGATTAGAAGGTTAGAAGAAGCTAGATGATAATTAAGAGGCATGTCTTTTGGTTGATATATACATTAGTATGGACACAAGAAAATGAAAAAATTAAAGCTTTTTTCAAAGAAAAGCAAACTTATTTTCTCTCCTTGAGGATAGAAAGCTTTAACTTGGGATTTACTTTAAAGCAAAATCCTGGAAGTTGCAATAAAAATTGTGAAAAGATTGCAAGAGTTTGAGGAAAAGACTGTGAAAGAAATGACAAAGACTACAATGTGAAGAATATCCCATATATGAGTGTAAAAACATGGACTTTATTATGAAGTTTCATCCATGGAATCATTCAGATGTTCAAGTTTCATTCAGAAGTGCATACGAATGCAATTCATAGTGGGTCTAAACAGGCCAAAATTAATAGGCCAGAGCAGCTTAGAGGAACATAGTTTTGTCATGATGCAACAGATGAAAAATATAGGATCCATATTTATTAATAAAGCAGGCAAGAAGAGGATTTCTCATATGGAACTGTTTGACTTTCAGCCAAACCACTAGTCCAAATCACTTGAGCTGTTGGCACTGAAGATCTGGGCCAAACTCCAAGGCCTTCAGAACAATTAACCAAATAGCAGAATGGTGTAAATAGACTAAGCAGTAGCAGGATGGAGCTAACCTATCTTGAGTAGGGATCAAAAATTGAAAAAGTTTCTTCTCTTATGACAATCTGCCCAGATTCCAGACCTTTCCCTCTTAACTTTCCCTCAGTGCTACAAAGTTCATCCAAAATAGAAAAAAGGCAGTCTTTCCTGTGGAGCTTCATATCAAGTAGCGTGCTTTGCCATTTCAAATGTATCAGACCCCATCTATGTCTCATTTTAAGAAAGCCCTAAAGCCCCATTAATTTATCCCAGGAATCCTGTTAACAAGACTTATTATATTGGCAAGGACACCAGTTGGAACTGAGGTTTCTTTTTCTATGGTGGAACATATTCTTTTAATGTTGGCTTTCTAACCTCAGGCATCCAGTGAAACCTAGGGTTTTTTTTACAGCTAAAAGTAGTGAATTACAATTACAGCATAGTCTTCTAAACCCTGAGATATTAGCATCAGCTTTCGGGCGCAATGGTTCAGTGATTAAAGACACAGATCAGGTTTGAGACCCAAGGGTTGCACAATGGGATGAGCTCCCATTACTTGTCCCAGCTCCTGCCTACCTAGCATTTTCAAAGCATGCAAATGCAAGTAGATAAACAGGTACCACTTTGATGAGAAAATAACAGTGTTTTGTGCATCTTGGTGTGTATAGTTATGCTGGCCACATGACCAAGGAAATGTCTTCAGACAATGCTGGTTCCCTCAGCTAAGAAACAGAGTTGAGCACTGTCCCCTAGAGTTGAACATGACTGGAAAGGGGAAAACTCTTACCTTTACCTTCTAAACTCTGAGATATTACAAGCACATTCACCCTAAAACAACCTTCTTGTAAAAATTGGAATAATTATGAAGGAACCAGAAAAGAAGAAGGGTCTTTGGGGAAAGGCACATACCTGTCCGGTAGACAAAATTTCCATCAGTCTCGGAGGAGGATGGCGACACCAGTTCTTCTTCAAACTCATTAGAACTGAATGATCCAGAATGATTCCTTTGTCTTGTTTTTTCCATCAGGTCTGCATCTGTGGTCATGACATGTGTCACCGAATCATTCAGGTAGCGATTCAATAAGCTGCTTTTGTATTTAGGAGGGGCTACATAATCCTCACTGGCACTTCCTTCTGGTTTTACTCCAGATTTTATGACAGAACTTTCTGTTTTAACCACAGCATGATGAACCTGGGTGTTGTATTCTCCTTCATTTCTGGGAGGGTTTTCATCTGCAAAGAGAAGAATGATCAAGCAGAAACTTTTCTTATGTATCTTTATACTCTTAAAGAAGTGTTTGGTGGAAAACGGAGATCAGATGGCATTATCATGACAGTCTTTTCTAAAATCCATTTACATAGACTTCTCTAATCTGTCCCATCCTCCATTCTCAGTTCCCAGCCACATAGTGTGAAGTGTGCTTCCCACCAAAGGTTATTTGTATCTTATCTATATATACATATATAAATGTGTCTGTGTGCGTGTGTGTGTGTGTGTGTGTTTATACTCTGGAACACTATGAACAATTTCAACCAAACTTGGTACACAGAGGACTTATTGTCTGGAAACAAATATTGTGGGGGTAAGACAGCCCTAACACCCCTTGGGGTGTGTGTTCTGTTAAGATACAGCCTGTTGTGCCTTAAAATGGCTTCTACCATATTGCTGTAAAATGGCTTCTACTGTACAGTGCAGTGGAGTCGCCATGGTAACGGCTTCATAGTACTCCACAAGGGGGCTCCTTCTGGTAAGGAGGAAAATCCAACATTAGAAATTACGTTTAGTCTGAGATTATTTTTGAGGAGAAATGTATGGATTAGGATAAATAAATACCCGGGCAATGCCGGGTTATCAGATAGCATTATATATATGAGATTCACCCCTTAAAAGCAATGAAACAAAACCCCCCCAAAGAAACAAATTATTACATGGTTTATCTACTATGGTACCATATTTTTGGCAGTTCCCCAAAGAAACAAGACAGAGTTCACTTCATACATAATTTATCTTTGAAGTAGTGGGACTGCTGCAATTGCTATAGAAGACAAATATTTTTGTGTAGATATACAGTGAACTCCCTCTTATCTCTTAATACATTTGTAACTGGGCTTTAAGAAAGATTAGTTCAAATAATTCAGAAAGAATTGACATTCTCCTGCCAAACTTAACTTTAGAGAAGAAGTTCTTGTAGCATAACATTTCTTCCTTCTTTGTTTTTTGTTTTTTTGTTTTTTTACAAAACCATCATTGCACCTTAAGCAAACAATATAGTCCATCTGGACATATATAGGCTTTTAATCTTTGAAGTGATTTTTTTAGACATTCATTCTTCTTCAGAGTCCAGGAAGATGCTGATTATTGGACATAGTTGAGGAGCACAAGTCAAGGCAAAAACAGCATGCAAGACTATTGCTTTCTTGAAAAATAATAACTATTTTCAATTTTACAGACTTTTTATAGAGACAACTTGAAAGTATCAAAAACAAACCTTCAGAACATGAATCATCACTGCTTACGCTAAGCCGCTCAGCATTTCCTTGAACATACTTATTGTATAGTTTTATTCGTAAAGCCCAGCTGAGATCCGGTTGGCGGACAGTATTTTTAAGACGCCGCCTTGCATTGGCAAACCAATTTGACACCTAAATAAAAGACAAATGCATCAAATTTGTCTTTGACCCAGAACATTGAGAACTGAATTTCTCCTCTGTAAATGCGATGAAAGAAGTATAAAAAGTAGACAAATGATTCATAGTTCTACTTTAACAACAATTATATGGGCACTGGAAAAACATCATATCAAGTTCTATGTCTATCAATTATTGAATAAAAGGTCAATCTGTGCTCCTGAATTCTGCTTAATACAGAGTATACTGGCGGAAAAGATGTGAATTGGCTCAAAAATATCTGGGAGCCACCTGCTACCTACTTCTGCAAAATAACCAAGAGCAGAACTGTAAATTGCAGAATCCCACATGCTAATAGGAAGTGGGCGGCTATATAACTAGGCTATTGAATGCAAGAGACAGATGCAATTTTTCAGGCTTTCAGAGTGCTAGGTCAGTTGTCCTGGTCCCTGTAACCCAGATCATCTTCCCATTTGTGCTGATCACGACACACTAATGGACATTCCGTATGCCAGAGAGCACCATGGGATCAGCCCAGGACCACGTATTATACAGCAACACAAATTTAGATGAGCCAATGTCTGGACTGCATATACTTTCTGAATTCTTTGTTGAATAGTCTGTGTTAATGATTGTACCATTTATTTGTTGGGGAGGGGTAAAGACAGAGAGAGAAAGATTTGTTGGCTTAATAGCTGCCTAAGCATCTTCTGTCATATGAAGTGGTAGAGATTTATCCGTGTAGCTCTTGATACAGGCAATATAAAACTACCGTGATTTATATGCTTACACCTCCATTTCATGGAAAAAGCCAAAATGAAGCCTTGTGCACTCAAGATTTCCATGTCAATAGCAAGCATTATTCACATGAATATGAACAGCTCCCTGTTTCAAAGTGTTCCAGCAGGCAGTAAAGTCCAGCATGAAATAGGGTTATCTCAAGAAAAAGTATCTGGAGCCCCCAAATACTTGAATTTTGGATGTTGTCTTTTCCTCATCAAAACAATTATGAAATCGTTATTTTTGACCATTTAGGAAATAAAGGAAATAAACTCACAATTCATACTGTCTGGAAAAGGAGAAAAGAAATAGTCACTCCAAGCACTGTAGCTATCATGATATTTAAAAAAAAATAGAAAGTTTAAAAAGCTGTATTTGAGGCAATAGCTGGTCAAGGAGCAATTTTTAGTATGACATTTCGCTACAGCGATACAGTCAGTTTAGAGTTGATAAATACTGCATTAGTCATTGGCTTCTCAGAACTGTCATTACCATCTCTGTTTGGCTTCTACCTTTCTTTAAAATGCTACATTTCTGTTCATATGAATTGGTCCTATTCCAGAAGCACGTAAAGCCTGAAATAAAACAATTGCATATAGTTCCAAACCCACAGTCACCACCAGATTATTAACTAGGGCGTCCATCAAAGCTTCAAAAGGTCCCAGTAGAAGCACATGGTTAGGCTTTGTAGTTTCCCCTGATGGTCCTGGACCCAAACACCAAACAGCAGCTTGAAGTCCTGGACTGCAAATACATTGCTGACCTCTCCCTCCTTCCCTTCTTCCCCCTCTCCCCACTACCCCCCTCTCTTTCTGTGTTATCAAATAATTTACCGTCTCCATGATACTGCCTGCAAGTGTGTACTGCAGCAATTTTTTGCATTTCATGAATACCTAGATGAAGTAAATTTTAGGAATTCTACATGGGCTACCATCTTGGAACAAAAGGCAGGTTATAAAATGCCATAACTAAGCAAATAAAATTAGAAGGATGCATAGTTCTTAGCTGGACTAGGAAAATTGTAGCTGTTCAGACTTGGAATGATGTTAGATGCAGTGGGCCACAATTCCCATAATTTCTCAGCAACAGGGCCAAATGCACTGTGCTCTCACAAAACTGGAGGCTCTGAAGCTGGAGAAAGTGTGGATTAACCTTTTTACATGCCCTTCATTCTGTTTTGCTTCTTTTTTCTTATTTACTATTATGATAAACTGTTTCTACTCAGCAAATGTATTTTTCAGGTGGTTTTAGGGCAGGTCTCCCATTTTCCAATGCATTAAATAAACATCATACTTAAAATATAAATCATAAAGTACGTTCCTATCTTTATCTCTTTTGAAGGGAAAAGATTACTAGGATATTGCAGATCATATTGCTCAAGGATAAACATCTAAAGGAACAATTTATCCAAACTGTGTTCTCCAGATGTGTGGGTCAATAATAGGTTGAAGCTAGCTCTGGGGTCGGCAACCTTAAACCCTGAAAGAGTCACAAAGGTTCTAACTAGACGCCTCCCGCCTGGTTCAATTCTGGAATCATCCAGAAGTCTAGTTCTCCCACCATAGAGTCTCCTCCTAGCATGGCATCCTTTTTCCTCTACCTATCAATTGTGGAGCTGACCAGCAACAGGGAGCCGCAGCAGAGCGATGAAAGAGCCACATGCGGCTGCAGAGCCATGGGTTGCTGACCCATGAACTAGCTGAAAGTTTTGAGAGTTAAAGTTCAAGACATCTGAAGATTGGAAATGATTGAAAGGGAGAAGATGGCTCACCTAAGTGATTTTCTCTTCCTGAGTAAATTATATCCTATGCAGTATATACTTTTGCATAGCTGAATATTGCCAGAGTCTCAGAAGCTCAAAAGCAAGCCATTAGTCATACTGTGGCAAATCATATTCAACAATAAAGCCATTCATATTTCCCCTTCTGGAAAGAATGTTCAGCTTTTTTTTTAATTCCTAGGAATGGCTAAAACCAAATTTAAAATAAAATAAATCCACCCCTACGGGAATAGTGCAAATGAAAACATGACATACAGCATTCATTGCAAATTAGCAGGACAAATTGCTAGCCTCCAAATTGAGGGCTAATTGGCGAGATAAATATAGGCTGCGGCTTTTAGTCGAATATGGCTTCCTGCTCTAGTTCTGTAGTTTCGGAGTATAATGTTTCTGGCTCTAAAGCAAATGGGAGAAGAGGGAGTCTAGAAGTTACATGAATTAGGCACCGTATTCACTGAGCTTCAGCTATACAGATGTTTTCCCCAAATCTTCTTTTAGAAACCTTCTTCCTTTCCTTAAGACAAAATTATCTAATACAGGGACGATTTGCCTTGTTTGTTGGTTAATATTTTGCCAGGAACTCAGACAAGCAAATTGCATCATTCTCTCCCTCCCTCCCTCCCTCCCCTCTCTCTCTATCTTTCTCTCTCTCTCTCCCTCTCTCTTTCTCTCTCTCTCCCTTCCTCTCTCTTTCTCTCTCCCTCTCTCTCTTCCTCCCTCTCTCTTTTTCTCTCCCTCTCTCTCCCTCTCTCCCTCTTTCTCTCTTCCTCTCTCCCTCTCTCTTTCTCTCTCTCCCTCCCTCTCTCTTTCTCTCTCCCTCCCTTTCTCTTTATTTCTCTCCCTCCCTCCCTCCCTCTCTCTTTCTCTCTCTCCCTCCCTCTCTCTTTCTCTCTCTCTTTCACACTCACACACACACTACAAATCCCCTGTGGGGCAGGATTGACTGAAGGAATGGTCCCAAGTCCCCTCAGTGAACTTCCACCGCTGAGTTGAAGTTGGATCTCCAAGTCCTAGCTTATTACTTTTAGTCATCTTAAATTAGAGTTTCCCAACCTTGGCAATTTTCAGGTACTGGTATATGGACTTTAACTTCCAGAATTACACAGCCAGCATAGCCATTGCTGAAAATTCTAGGATTGAAATACACTCATCATTAAAACCCCAACATTGGGAAATAGATTCTTGGGGAAACAGTAGATTCTGTTTTCCACCAGAAACTCAATGTTAATTTTTCCAACTTGCTTGCATTGCTTGTGGTACCTTCCTTCCTTATTTACCGGTACTTGCCCACTTATTTACTTACTTGTAGTGAATAAAATTGAGAGGGTGTACAAAAGCTTTGCTTTCTCTGTCACTCTACAATGTCTACTTTTACTTTTACTTCATTAGGATTTCCATATAATTAAATGCCCCAAGCTAGTACATGGTCAGTGGTGTCTCATTGTACTTAATATGTTGGTGTATGATTGGGGGATTAAAGGAAAACCATCTGTAACTAGAAAATTGTTGGCTAAAGAAAAATGCTAGTAAGACATCTTAGGACTCCCCAGCTGGATTCAGAAAACTTATCATTTTCTTACAATTTAGCATTCTTTTGGTTGCATAGGAAATCATAAATACAATTTTCTTCTGATAGAAGAAACCAAAATAATAAACAATCAGAAAGGGAGGCAACCACAAGTATTGCTAATAAGAAAATATTTACAGGGTACGTTTTCTGAATTTCTTCCTATTAAGACTGCACAATTGACATGATTAAAAAGGCTTTTCACCCTTCTATTAAACATTCAAATATATATAATACACATAATGAATGCAGTAACTAGTGTTAATACTATAATGCCTTGGTTAAAGCCACACTTGGAATATTGCATCCAGTTTTGGTCGCCATGATTTAAAAAAAGATATTGAAACTCTAGGAAGAGTTCAGAGAAGAGCAACGAAGATGATCAGCCTAAAACATAAAGGCTTATAAAGAATGGCTAAGCATATAAAGAATGCTAAAACTTATAAAGAATGGTTGCTGGAATTGTTATGTCTAGTTTAATGAAAAGAAGGTCTAGGGGTTTATATGATAGCAGTGTTCCAATATCTAAGGGATTGCCATAAAGAAGAGGGGATGAACCTCCCTCCTGAAAGGGAGGGATGTGGGCAACCCTTTACAAGATAGAGCTGAGGAGTTTGTCCAATTTCTCGTGGATAAAGTTGCTCGGCTTCAGACAGACCTGGACTCCAATTGCTCAGAGCCAGCCAAGGTACCGGGGGAGGGTCTTGGGCGGCATCTATGGATTGATTTTCAACTTGTTACTCCTGAGGAAGTGGACAAGGCCATGGGAGCAGTGAATGCCTCCACGTGTATGTTGGACCCGTGCCCCTCCTGGCTGGTATCGAACAGCAGGGAGGTGACATGGGGCTGGATCCAGGCAATAGTTACCGCCTCCCTTCGGGAGGGGTT